AAAAAAAAAAAAAAAAAAAGAAAAGAAAAGAAAGAAAGAAAAAAGAAAGAACAGAAAAGCAACCAACCAAACAAACCCCAACATAATTCTGAGCTATAGTATAGTAATAGAGGAGCTGTTAAGGATAGGGAGAGAGGTTCATTTGTCTTTTGTTTTTTTAAGGGTACATATTTAGCTTGAGAGGTTGAAAAGTTATAGATGGGAATTCCAAGTGTTTATTACTCATTGATCAACAGAGATGAAAGAATGGTACAAAGGGATACCTGTACCAGGTTACAAAGCTAAACTATTTTTTAAAAATCATATAAAAAATCTTTTTTTCCCACATTTATTTATTATAGTTGTACATATGGATGGGATTTCTTGTTACATATTTGTACATGCATACAATGTAACTATATAATTTGGCCAATATCACTTCCCAGTACTTCTCCCCTCCCTCTACACTTCCACCCCTTAGGCTCTTTTCTTATCACCCTTTGATTTTAGGGGATCTTTCTTTTTCCTCTCTAGCCTCTGCATATGAGAGAAAACATATGATCCTTGACCTTCTGAATTTAACTTAATTCACTTAACATGATGATCTCTAGTTCTATCTACTTTCCTACAAATACCATGATTTAATATTTATTTTTGGATGAATAAAAATTTTCATTGGGTATATATATTACATTTCTTTTTTTGATAAAAGGGTAATATATTTTTTAAAATATAATAATACAAAAGTTGAGATGACAGAACTAAGACCCTAACTATCATATGAATATCTGTAAATAAGTTAATCTTACTAATTGAAAAGATGCCAGGTTGGATTACAAATAAAATTTAATTATATTCTGTATGCAAGTACATATTTAAAAAAAGAGATTCTGAAAACTTAAAGTAAAAAAATGACAAATATATATCAAGAAAATTCAAAGAAAAAGAGCCTAAGTGCTGCAATTCTCAACAAACAAGTTGTTAGAGGAGATCAACTTTATAATGGAAAATACATCCACTATCTTTAAAAGCTTGTGCATGGAATAACACAATATCAACATTCATAATGTAAATTGACAAAAGTAAAACAATCTACCATCCTAAGAGGAAAACTAAATTCTTCCATCTCAGTATATGACAGATCAAGTAGCCAAAAGTTATTACTAAAAAAAAAAACAAAAACAAAAACACAGATGAAGAAAAGATAAATACTGTGGATCTGAACATTATTTATCAAACTCAAAATACAGAAAGCAGAGACAGAATATTAAAATATCTATGAAATCAATAAAAATACCCAGCAAATTACAGAAAGTAGAAAAAGTAAGAGAAGTTTATTTCCAAACACAAGGTAATAAAATGAAATTAATAATAAAATTTAAAGGGGTAAAAGCTCCATTTTAAAAAGTTATTTCAATCTATTGAAATGTGCCACATTTTCTTTATCCATTCATCCATTGAAGGACAGACACCTAGGGCTGATTCCATAGTTTAGCTATTGTGAATTGTATTGTTATAAACTTGGGTATGTGTGTATCACTGTAGTAAGATGACTTTAATTCTTCAAGATAAATACTGATGAGTAGTTAGACTAGTATTTTATATATATGAGAAAATATAAATAAAAATTTATTTACTTATAAATCAACTTCTGAAAATAGATTTGATCAATAAGGACAAAGAGTAGAGAAAGAGCAGGAGAGCTGAAGACATAGCCCAGGTATGCTTATTTTGGGGATGTGGAAAGAGGAGACTGAAAGAGTCAAAGTTTATGTGGTAAGGAGAACAGGAGGAGGATCCAAGATAGTAGGAGTTCCCTGCCCTTTCAAAATGCTTGTTAGGAGAACACTGTTTTGAACAAAAGAGTCAGTGGGAGCTGTTTTCCAGGAGAGCTTTCTCTTAGCCTGTGGCATGACCATCAACATGGCATAACCACTTTAATCATATTGGATTATCAACAGTGCTCTCAGGCCACCTTCCCCAGGGATCTAGTACAAATACAATTTGCAGTGGAAAACAAAGCTATTTAATGCCTCAAAGTAAGAAAACAAGTTTATATCAAAAAAATCCAGGCAACAGCTGGTACTTTCAAGAACCTTCAGAAATAGGATATCTAGTAAAGCAGTTGTTATTAGTAGAGACTGTGCACTTTAAGACATTTTAGCTCACAGAGTGAGTCTGTGCTAATGACACAATATGACAAAAATGGAGTCTAATTCAGCTCATACTGAATACTAAAAGGGATAGTAAAATTATGTTTCAAAGTATTTTTCTGTCTAGAAATGGATCTATAAATGGTAGAAAAAGTACCCAGAAAAAGTATTAAGCTGTACACCAAATGCTTATAATGGGGAAATCTATATAACAAAGTAAAACTGGGATTCTCATTAGAAGTAGGCTTAAGGGAAAAAAAAAAAAAGAAATAGGCTTATGAGTAATTAAAGTGTTGTTCTCAGGCACTTCAGTATTTGTGAAAATTATTTTAAAAAATTGCATCCATTTTTAAATAAAAATGCTATTTAAAAAGAAATAAAGCAACCTATAATTCCATCAATCATATACACTGAAACAGCCAAGAAAGAAAAGGTAAAATCATACCTCAATATAGTTTATTTCACTATAAAATACTGTAAAAATGACTTACCTATAAATGTCTACATGGGTAAATAAGTCAGGAAAATAAAATATTGTAGGTTGTGAATTGAAAACCATTAATATCTAGACTGCGGAGCCAATCTATTAAATTATTGCTGAGATTTTAGAAAATCTACTGGGTTATATATAATTCAATAGATCTTTCAAAAGGACAAAGATCTGAGACAGAAGAAAGTTAAAGGTTATCTGACTTAACTGATGAGAAAGCCAGGTTAATTCACAAGGATGCACTGGATACAATTTATCTGTTGGAAAGCCTTCTCCTTGCCTGTGGCAGGACCATTAATGTGGCATAACAATTTTAATCACATTGGATTACCAATAGTGCTTACAGATATATAGCACGAACACAAGAGATTCTGCAGCTGGGAAGGTTCTTGGTTGGGGAGCCCAGGAGGCCCAGGGTATCACTTGCACAGACACAGATGAGTCACAAATCTGACTAATGAAATAGATCACCTTGGCATGGGGATGGGCAACATAATTTTAGGGTGTTCTAATGATGTAAAATATATAAATGAAATTGAACTCTTTTACTACAGCTTGTACTTTGAAGGGTTTTGGGTTACATCTACTCAACAGAGTCTTTCTGGCATTGAAAGGAAGAAGGAAAAATACAGTCAATAAATCTTATGTTTGTTTCAAATCTATGCTCTCTCAACTACTTTGTCTTCTTCCAATTCAAGATTGGCTATGACAGCTGAAACAACTAATATCCTAATCATTTTATGATCACAGAGAGAAAGTTTACCTGTTTCAATTCTTGTGTCAACATCAGTATTGACTTTTGATGCAGAGCCCTCATCTGTCACACAGTTTTTAATTGTCTTCTCCCTAGAGCTGTCACATAGAAGAATTTATTTGAAACTCAAAAGAAAGCTTTTAAGATCACCAATCCATGCTATTTAGAAAAACATTATTTCATGGTGGTCAGATTTTTCCCCCAGATGCTGTAGGATTATTCTTTACAAATATCTCAGAGTTAAAGTCATGATTTTTTTAAAGTCATAATTTTTAAAAAGTCATAATATTTATACTGGGAATGATGAGAGAGAAAGACACTATCATTCAGAAAATTTAGAACTTACTTTGTTCTCTTGACAGAAACTTAAGTCTGAATGAGAGAGTAGGATGTTTCCTTTTTAATTATTTAAAACACTTATAGTTAAGACACATTAAGGAAGATTCTGCTGCTAAGAATTATAGTGGAGACAACTATAGCCATTAGTTAGAAAAACAGATAAAAAAAAAAGGCAAATGTTTGCACTTGATTGAGGTAGATATCTTGGGAAGTGGAAGTACAGGAAGCCTAGACTATGTGCCGGGCTCTTTAAACTCACTGTCTCATTCAATCATAAAATCCTACCTACTAGTATTAACCCCATTTTATAGGTGGGGAAATTGATATTCAGAGAGTCTTAAAAAGACTTCACCCAAGATTGAAGAGCTTGTATGATATTAACACTGAGCATAGAGTAACATTTTATATCTGGTGTAGCAATCACCTATATGGTACCTAAACAGATAAATGATGAGATTAATTATTTGTCTTACTAGAAAGTTTATTCAATTATACATTAACTCATCTCTGTTTTCCAAGTGCATTTAAAATAGGAATCAGTATACAAACTATATCTATACAAATAATTTTTAGAAACATTCTATTTCTGTCTACAGCAAAGTAAATTTTCTTTATGTAAATTAACCTCAATAAACCTGATTTTTTAAAAAATAGGGAACTAAGGAAAGATAGGAAACTAAGAATGTTCTTTGAGGGTTACACTATAAAACATATAGATCAGAGCAGAAATAGGCAAAGTGACTAAAGAAGATGATGGTAGGCCAACAGGCACTGACTTCATTCATTCATCATTCAATAAATGATTTCTCAGCACATTCTATGTGCTAGGCACTGTCATAGGCACCACAGACACTACAATAAATGTAACCAACAAGTCCTCAGGCTCATGGAGCATATGTTCTATTAAGAGGTAAATACAATTAAAAAAAATAAACAAAAAACTTATTCTGGAGAAGAATGGAAGAATAATATTGTTGAGATACATTCACAATATCTTGTTAAATTAAAAATGGTATGTATAGGAAGCAAATTACTATAAAAATAAATGCATATATATTTATATGCACAGAATACATACACACATATACCTGAGTAAAAGGATATTTACCATAATATAATTAGTCTTATTTCTGGATGTTGGGATTATGAGTTACTTATTTTGTTTCTCATGGGTTTTTCCTGTACTTTCCAAATTCTCAAAAATAAGCATGTATTACTTTTGTCATCAGAAAAAATACTAATATTTACAACTACATGTATCTATAGTACACAGATGACTAAAACGTATATGCCTACATGTACACAAAATATTAATAATAGTTAACTCTCAGTGGTAGGATATAGTGATTTTTTTCAGTATACCTGTAGGTGTTATTTAAATTGTAATTATTTATCTAATTTTCACTTAAAATTATAAAGCTAATTTTTTAAAGAATGGGTTTTGAGATAGAAGTATGGTACCTTCTTTTTATGGAATTTTAGTAGCAATAAATGAAAATATCTACCATTCAGAGACAGCCTCAAGGTCTGTTTATTTTTTGTTTTGTGGAGAAATACTTTCCTTTTCTTCTTTTGACAATTTTTTTTCTCTAGCAGTCTTGCCCATGGTAATTTAAATCTCCTTATTCAATAGAAAAATACCATGTACTTCTTGATAATTCTATCAAGAAAAAGAGTTACTAAGCATTTATGGAGAGAAGTCATCTCATAGTGTTCCTATCTATAAGCTGTGAACAACAACACTGGAGATTTTAAAAGTATATCCAAAGCACACCTAGCAATTCAAGAAAGCAGGAATGAACCCACTAGGGCAAGTCTCATCAGATAAATCTCAGGATGCTGAAAAGATACTTTGATTCCAGATCTAAGTAGTTACAACTTGTGGAAGATTTCTGCTGGAAAATAAAGAAAATTGAAATTCACTATGACCTATGTCCAGAAGCAAACTAGAATGTTGTTTGTTTGTTTGTTTTTATAGAGAATTTTCTTACCTTTTTTCCACCTCTAAGAGGAAATTTTCACTGTTCCCCAACTGACTAAAATGCAGCTTGGCAGCTTTCCTCTCACTGTCACGAACAGTACGATCATCTGGAGGCAAAAACCGTGGTCTGAGCATGTTTATTTTTTGGAGTAAAGAGTAGTGGGTCAGAAACCCTTATTTACATAGGAAAAACTAAAGACCAGCCTCATATTTGTGTGTTAGAGACAGGTCACAACAAATACTATTGTGTTGTCACTGGAGAAAGCAGTAACTCAGGGAGACTACAGGGATGCCATAGCAACAACTGCCACATAGGGTAAGTACCCCTTCAGAAAAGTGGAGCTTACACAGCAAACAATCTCATGTTAAGACTGAAAGTTAGACCATTTTCTGAAAGAGTTCACTTAGTTTCCCTACAATGATTTTCCCAGGAACATGTAAAATCAAATTTTACATCAATAAGAAATGTAAACTTAATAATAAAATTATAAGAAAATGCAAACCAGCTCATTCAAAGGGATATTTCTTATTCCTTGCCAACTGAATCTCAAAGGATTATTAGTTTTCTACTGCTAATACAGTTGAAAAGTTAGGGCACCTGGAAAAACAAGTATCAACCTGGAAATTTTATGTTGAGAAGGAAGTGGTGGTGAAACCATCAACTGAAGAAAACTAAAGCTGGAAGTGACTGATAAAATCATAGGTGGTCATTCAATAAACAATAAACGGACTCGTCATACATCCTGCCAACACAAAGAGTTACATAAATATTGACTAATAAATAAATGTCCCTTGCCAGTGCACACTCTGGGCCAACATCCAAAAGGTTAAGAGGCAGCTGATTTCAAGTAAGATTCTGGGGAAGGAGCAGAGGAGGAGGGTCTCACCCAATTTCTCCAGAGTTTGTAGTGTGTACACAGCAAAGAGCCTATAATCTGTATCTTTCCTTACAACAGGATTGAGTCTCAAATCTAATTCTTTGAGGAAGGGTAAAGGCTGTAGGCGGGACACCTCCACTAATGAAGGGATGTTGTTATAATATAAATTCAGGTCTTGGAGTGAGCATAAATACTGGATGCCCTGCAAGGAAAAGACCACATTAGGAAACTGCACATTGTAGGAAACGTATTTATTACTTTCTATTCTTAAACGCATTACCCAAACCACCCACAAGAAAGACAGGGTTAGAACTCCTATTCAGTTACCTGAGAATAAGACTACTGCAGCCCCTGGGCTCAGAGTGTTCTATGTGTTAAAAAGTTCACATACATCTTTATAAAATATGACATTCATATATCAACAGATATTCCCTATATCTATTGGCTCCCAAATCATTTTCCTAATTCAATCCTTCCTAGTGGTAGCCAGTCCAAATCACTTTGGCTTTCTCACCTTTGCCTCAACCATTCTCCTTACTCCCTAAGAACTTCAATTTACAAAAGGAAGGAAGGTAGGCAAAAGAGCTGCATCTGGGGTAGGAGGACATGGTGGTGGTAATAGAAGTAGTAGTAGTAGTAGTAGTAGTAGTAGTAGTAGTAGTAGTAGTAGTAGTAATAATAATAATAATAATAATGTGATGGTATCCTCATGTATCAATGCATCACTTTGAGTTTCAATGTATTATTCGGTGAAACAAAACAACACTTTCTCCAAGTCTTCCCTGGGGGACCTGTCTAGGACCCTTCTTGTCCTGGTTTCCCTCTTCAGAGTTACTGCCAAATGAAAGCTCCCCGTCCCCTAATCAGTCATTTCTCTTTGTAAAAATGTTCTTCCATTCTGTTCTCATATTGCAGATTTAGCAAACCCTGTCCTTTACTTAACTAGCAACAATATAATCAGGACTGGGAAAAGCCACAATTTTCCTGTTCTGCTGAAATCTGCTATTGAGAAGAATTATTTAATTTGCATATATTTAGCTTGTTAGCTGCTTTTGCCCAACACTAAATTTCAGGACCATATTTCAAAACATATACATATATTTGTAATCATCTAATTGCAATAGTTAAAATGCTTGTCATAAGAATAACTGCCATTGAGGATTATTTCAGAAAGGTGAAATTATTTTCCATTATGTATTTATAAAATAATGTTTTTATTCTTCTCTCATATAAAATCATTTTTATTTCAGGAAATTCAGAAAACTCAAAATATATATATATACAAAACATTCCAAAGTAGAACCCTATTTATTTTGATGCATTTCTCTCTGTTTTTAAAATTTTATTAACTTTTACACTTTTAAAGAGTCAGTGATTAGGAACAGTTATCAATGCCTTTGGTTTTACTCTCAGGGCAGTATACCATTAGGACTGTCTTTATTTTTTTCATATTTTCTTTCTTCCATGTTTTTATTGGTGCATTATAATTATACATACTGGTAGGATTCATTGTTATATATTTTTCTGTGTACATGATATAACAATATAATTTGGACTATATCATTACCCAGTATTTCCCTTTTCCCTCTTCTCCTCCTTCTGCTCCCATTCCTTTCCTCTATTTAGGACTGTCTTTAATGTGTCTAATGCACCAGCTCAAACAATCTTCTTTTTCTTTTTCCTTTGTTGATACTAGGCTTAACCTAGGGATGCTTTACCTCTGAGCTACATTCCCATCTCTTTATTTTTTTTTTCTTTATTTTGAGACAAGGTCTTGCTAAATTGCTGAGAATGTCCTCAAATTTATAATCTTCCTGTCTCAGCCTCCTGAGTAGCTGGGATTAAAGTGTGCACCATCATGCCTGGTTCAAGCAACCTTTTAATGTCTTTCAATATAAAATCAAGGAAATCATTTCTATCCTCTTCTGACTTTTCCCAGTTGGCATGATTTCATGTATTCCCTAACACTGCATTAGAAAAAAAGCCACAAAAATTTTCTCTCTGGGAAAATTGAGAAAAGTAATTCAGACTTACTGAAAATGAATATAAGTAGATAAATAATACATGCAAAAATGTAGAAAATTAACATTTACCAAGTGCTTCCTATATGCCAAACACTATACTGGGAGTTTTATATATGTTATTTGATTACATGTTAATTTCATTAACTTTCACAGCAGTTTTTCACTCAATTTATATAAGTATAAAGAAATGGAGCATAAAAACAAATTACAGAAATATTCACTTAATTTTTTAGCATAAAAGGACAAATAAATGTACAAATGAAAACGGGAGACTTAAGAACTCTGAAGTAATCCTTTCTAAAATTGATGGGCCAAATATAAATGACTGCTAAAAATAGTTTAAATACTAGTTCAACTTGGAGTTGCTATTTTTAGTCGTAGTTGGAAATTTGATCTATCTTGTTTGGGCTTTTTTTTTTTTTTTGGTACCAGGGATCAAACCCATGGGCACTTAACCACAGAGCTATACCCCTAGCCCTTCTTGAAACATTTTGAGACAGGATCTCCTTTAGTTGCTTAAGCCCTCGCTAAATTTTTGATGCTGGCCTGAAACTTGTGATCCTTCTGCCTCAGCTTCCTGAGCTTCAGGGATTACGGGATCACCCAGTTGGGCTTGCTCTTTTAAGGCAAGTTATACCTTCAGATTGGGTCTGAATGATATGGTTTGAAGGGTATGGACTATCCCCTAAGAAGTGCAAAATTGGCAGAATAATCCAGGAGAGTCTTTGTCACTTCCAGTCTTCTATAGAAGGACTTTGCCAATTAGTTAGGGCAAAATGGGAACATGTAGAAGAAGCACAATTTGAGGATCTATCATAAAGAAAACAAAACTTGTATGTCCGTGCTGTATGTACTTCTTTGCAGAGCTCTTTATTTTCTAATCCTTCCATATGCTATTCAAGTCTGCTCCTACTTTCCTGTACTGCTCTGTGTTCCACCATGCCTCGACATAAACATTCTTTTCTTTTTTGAGACAACCATTTCCTGATCTTCCTAGAAAAAACTCACTATAGCAATATAACCCAGTGTTTCTCTGTGTGCTTCATGTACTACTATAATCAGAATGCCCTGGGTTCGTCCTGAGCCCACCCATACCCAGGGTGTCTCTCAGAGCAGAGATTAAGAATCTGTATTTTTATAAGTGCTCTTCATGATTTTGTTGTTGTTGTTGTTGACACTGGGGATTGAACCCAGGGGCACTCTACCATTAAGCAACATCCCTAGCTCTTTTTATTTTTTAAGTTTTGATACAGGGTCTAGCTTAGTTGCTCAGGCTGGCCTTCAACTTGTGATCCTTCTGCCTCAGCCTCCAAAGTCACTGGGATCACCAGCATGTGCCACCAGACCTAACTTCTTCACGATTGTTTTGTACATATTGAAATTTGAATTATTTCCCTAGGCAATGAGTGCTTAATATAGTTAATATAGTACAAAAGGAATTTACCCAATATTTTATAAGAAATTACTTTAAACATAGAACAAAGTTAGTTGAAAGAATTTTATAGTGAATAATAAAATTTAGCTGGAAAGCATTTAAAAAGAAGATTTAATAATCCCCAGGTAACAATATTTCTCTCTTCTGCTCATCAAAAAGCAAACTGGGCTATCTGGCTTGTCATAGAATATAGAACTTACCTTTAGGCTAGTGATCAAATTCCTTGATAAATCTAAGGATCGGAGATTTTTAAAATTTCTGAAAGCATCACCAATGGAATGAATTTTTCCAGCATAAGATCCCTGTAATGAAAGAGACTCCACCAGTTCTGAAAAGAGATCATCAGTAGATATATTATGATCTCCACGTATATAAAAGTAGAGTCAATGAAAGTAGGCCTTCCTTCTTCCCATAACCCATCTGTGAAAGGCCCTATATCCAAGGATTCTAAGATCACATCTTCTTTTTTAAATCAGCAGTATAACAGAGCCCTGTGGTGCAGGCCTATAATCCCAATGACTCAGGAGAGAACTACATTGAAATAAAATCTTGAGGTGCTAGAACAATATAGGCCTTATAAGCTTTTCAAATTCATAAGCTAAAGAAAAGACCTATATCCTGGAGAAATTAGTGGGAACAGAATCTATACTAGATGGAACAGGGATGATAGGAACAACAATGAGAAGGTCTAGACACAAGTAGGGAAGGGAAGCAAAAAGGCAGATCTCAGGAAACAGTTCATGTTTTCCAGTACTTTGTGAACACAACAGAAGAGGGAGCTCCAAATCCTTGAAATAGAAAACTATGGGGTTGGGGACGTACGATGGAGCTCACCCTTCCTATCTTAAAAGTACAGAAGAACTTACTGCACTTAAATACACAGCCAGAAAAGGATTAGAGTCAAAGCTTATATGAGGGTTATTATAAGAAAAAGGAGCAGAATAACATTCCTAGGAAATAAAAGTATTCCAGAAGGATATGCCCACAGAGCAAATGAAGATATCATAGCAATGCAGCAATTCTCAAAGTGATTCCCAGACCCCTCGAGGTTCCGAAATATGTACAGGGATCCACAAACTATTTTTTTAAATTATTTTCATAGTAATATGAACACATTCATTGTTTTTGGTACTATATTGACATTTGCACTTAAGATACAAAAGCAAAACTCACTGGGCTGGTAGGATGAATCAAGACAATGGCATCACATTTTACTAGTGGTTAATGCATTCTTTACTATTGTATGTTTGAAGTTCTTTTTTTTTGGTGGGGGGAGTCCTGGGGATTGAACTCAGGGGCACTCAACCACTGAGCCACATCCCCAGCCCTATTTTGCATTTTATTTAGAGACAGGGTTTCACTGAATTGCTTAGTGCCTTGACTTTGCTGAGGCTGGCTTTGAACCTGCAATCCTCCTGCTTCAACCTACCCAGTCACTGGGACTACAGGTTGCACCACCACACCTGGCAATGTTTGCAGTTCTTTAAATGTCATTTAAGATTTCCCTTAATAGCCGGGCTCGGTGACACATGCCCTTAATACACTAGGTGCAGTAGCACATGCCTGAAATCCCAGAGATTCAGGAGGCTGAGGCAGGAGGATTACAAATTCAAGATCAGCCTCAGCAATTTAATGAGACTCTGTCTCAAAAAAGTAAAAAGGGCTGGGGATATGGCTCAGTGGTTAACCATCCCTAGGTTCAATCTTCAATCCCCTGGTACCAAAAAAAAAAAAAAAAGAATTATCTTAAAAAAGTAGTAACAATGATTAATTTTATTAAATCTTTGTGTCCGTGTGTGTGTGTGTGTGTGTGTGTGTGTGTGTGTGTGTTAAGTACTCTCATTGGCTATATCCCAGCCCTAATTGTTTAAATCTTGACCTTTGAGTATATATCTTCTCTTGCATCATAACTAAATGGAAAGTATTCATGAATTATTTCTGCTACATATTGAAGAATGGTGGATGCCTTGTAGAAAAACACCTTTTTTTTTGAATTTTTAATATTTATTTCTTAGTTCTCGGTGGACACAACATTTTTGTTGGTATGTGGTGCTGAGGATGGAACTCGGGCCGCACGCATGCCAGACGAGCGCGCCACCGCCTGAGCCACATTCCCAGCCCTAGAAAAACACTTTTATGTGACTGAGTTACAAGCTGAATTACACACTTAAAAAAAAAAAAAGATTTCGGGCTGAGGATGTGGCTCAAGCAGTAGTGCGCTCGCCTGGCATGCGAGCGGCCCAGGTTCAATCCTCAGCACCACATACCAACAAAGATGTTGTGTCTGCCGAAAACTAAAAAATAAATATTAAAAATTCTCTCTCTCTTTCTCCTTCTCTCCCTCTCTTTAAAAAAAAAATAAATAAATAAATAAATAAAAGATTTCTTTTTTAGTTGTAGATAGATACAATACCTTTATTTTGTTTATTTACTTTTTTATTTGGTGCTTAGAATCAAACCCAGTGCCTCACACCTGTTAGGGAAGCATTCTACCACTGAGCCACAACTAGGCACTTAACTAAGCACTTTTTTTTTTTTTTACTTTTATTTTGTTTATTCTTATGTGGTGCTGAGGATTGAACCTAGGACTTTGAATGTGCTAGGCAAGTGCTCTACCGCTGAGCCACAACCCCAGCCCCAAACTAGGCACTTTTCAAATGAAACATCATATTTACTCAGAGAAAAGCAACCTGAAAAATTACGGTTATTCTGACTTGAATTTTTAGCAGACATTTTCTTAAAAATAAGCAAAATGAGTCTGTCATTTCAGGAAAACAATGATATGTAACTGTTATCCATTATAACAGTCTAGCTTCTAAGAAAAAATAAAATTTGGGGGGCTAGGGATAGCTCAGTGGTAGAGCATATGCTAAGCATGTAACAGGCCCTGAGCTTGATCCCCAGCACCACTAACATTTTATTTTTTTTTTGGAAAACTTGTATCTGCACCATGAACTTGATTGCTTCCTTATTTTTTAATGAGATTGATGGCAATATAATTTTAGATGTTACATAATGAAACTTGTCAACATTTAGAAGATATATATAGCTCAGTGAGTCAATATTTTTTAAATTACCAATGAATAATGTTATAAAACCATGCTTTGTTAAAACAGTCATTCAACATCAGGACATACCAATGGATTTTACTATAACGATACAAGAACTCAGTGATATGTTTCAGATTTCATATACAACTAAATTTTAAGAAAATACCATTTGCCCAGTGTTTATGTCTTATCAAAGAAGAATTTCCATAATAGGCTACTGAAACATTCTTCCCTTTTCCAACTACTTATCTGTGTGAGGTCAGATTTTTTTTTCCCATGTGTTTCAAACAAAACAATATATCACAATAGATTTAAAACAGAAGTAGATATAAGAATCTGGCTATCTTGTATTAAAACAGACATTAAAGAGATTTGTAAGAATACAAATCTAATATTCTATTTTTTATTTTGGAAAATATATCTATTGTTCATAAATATAGCAGGTAACCATATAATGGGTATGTTATATTTATCTTTCAATGAATCAATAAATTTTTAAAATTTTTTCTCAGTTTTAATTTCTTTCTTTTTTTTGGAGGGGGGTACCATGGATTGAATTCAGGGACACTCAGCCACTGAGTGACATACCCAGCTCTATTTTGTATTTTTATTTAGAGACAAGGCCTCACTGAGGTGTTTAGTGCCTTGCTTTTGCTGAGGCTGGCTTTGAACTCAGGATCCTCCTGCCTCAGCCTCCTGGCTTCTGGGATCACAAGTGTGTGCCACTGCGCCTGGCTCAGTTTTGATTTCTATATGGTAAATACTAGCAGATAACTAAAGCTCTGTGGGGTCCTCAGTAATTTTTAATAGTGTAAAGGAATCTTGAGAACAAAAAAATTGAAAATTACTGAAAAATGTAAGTTGGAATTAGGAAAATTCAGAAAGATGATTGGAAAAAAAAGGAAGATTTGAAAATATAGAAGAACAAACTCAAGAAATAATAAAAATATGTAATCCCAGGGGTTCCAGAGGCTGATACAGGAGGATCCCAGTTCAAAGCCAGCCTCAGCAATGGCAATGCCCTAAGCAACTCTGTGAGACCCTGACTCTAAATAAAATACAAAATAGGGCTAGGGATGTGGCTCAGTGGTCAAGTGCCCAGAGTTCAAACCCTGGTACCAAAAAAAAAAAAAAAAGAAAAGAAAAGAAAAAGAAAAAAAGAAAGAAAGAAAGAAACAAAAACAAATAATAAAAATAGAGTTTAAAAAAATAATTTCAGAAATGAGGTTAAATGGTGCATGCCTATAATCCCAGCAGTTCAGGAGGCTCAGAAATTTAGTGAGGCTCTAAGCAACTTAGCAACTTAGTTAGACACTGTCTCAAAATAAAAAATAAAAAAGTCTGGGGATGGAGCTCAGTAATAAAGCACTCCTGGTTCAATCCCCAGTACCAAAAAAATAAATAAATAAATAAAAATAAAAACAGTAGAAAAATTCTACTTCTGACTATACTTCATATCCAAAAGAATTGAAAGCAAGGATTGAAATAGATACTTTTACATCAATGTTTATAGCAGCATTATTCATAATAGCCAAAAAGTAGAAAATATCCAAATGTTCATCAAAGTATACATAAGTAAAATGTGGGATAGATATAAAATGAGGTCTTATTCAGTCCTAAAAAAAAAAAGAAAGAAAGAAATTCTAATGTAAACATAATCTCAACATGTTTAAACTTTGAGGACATTATGCTAAGTGAAATAAGCCAGACACAAAAGGAAAAATATTGTATGATTCCATATATACAAGATACTAGAATAGTCAAATTCACAGAAACAGAAAGTACAGTGATGTTGCCAGGGGCTGAGTGCAAAGTGAATGGAGAGTTATTGTTTAATGGGTACAGGGTTTCAGTTTGGGAAGATGAAAAACTTCTGGAGAGAGATGGCAGTAATGGTTGCAAAACAATGCAAATGAAGCTAGGCACAGTGGCACATGCCTGTAATCCCAGTGGCTCAGGAGGTTGAGGCAGGAGGATTACAAATTCACAGTTAGCCTCAGCACCTTTTCTAAGCCCTAAACTAAGACCCTGTCTCAAAAAACAACAAACAAATAAGAACAACAAAAAAACAGTGCTTGAGCACCTCTGGGTTTAGTCCCTGGTACCAAAAAACAAACCAACAAACAATGTGAATGTAATTAATGCCACTAAACTGGACATTGTTTGGATTTTTTTTTTTTTTACCTTTGTTTTTGTTTCTTGGCTAACAACTCACTGTCTTGATTTCTATAGGTTTCTACTTTGAAGTCAGGAAGTGGCAGTTCTTTGACCTTTTCTT